AGGATTTGGGGCACACACATACATATGTGCCTGATGTGTTTCTCAAATTGCCAGGTCTGGGACTCAAACCTCGCAGTCAACCATGTGGGATCTAGCCACCAAAACACCATGCCACTGGCTGGACCCTTGCAACATATTAACTCTTTATAATTTCTAGCATTTTAAAAATTGACAAGATGAAACTCTTTAAAATACATCCATTATTGCAAATTCATTTAATACAACACGCAGTTATATTTTAGTAACTTAAAACAAATTGTTTAAACAATAATGATCATTTACTTGATCTGTGAACCAAAGAAGGAAATTTAAATATTTTAAATTTTGATAAATTAAACTTGTACTAACTAGAACTTGTATCTTCATTATTATATTTATAAATGTTGGTAAAATCAGGGAGAAGATGAAATAATTCTCTTAAAACTAAAATCACTCTGATTTGTTCCATGTCATCTATTTATTGGGAATATTACATGAAATATTTTCTCTTAAAATTCACAAGGCTCTAGGGACTGGCAGGCGGTGTGGTGGCCAAGGGTACTGGATTCCCACATGACACATCTGTGTGTGCCCTGATCCTGAGGAACTGCAAAGCCAGGCTAGGGGATAGTGGTGTAATGAGATCCCATTCAGGGTATCACCCCGTGTGTGAACTTATACTATTTATCATGAATAAAATAATTTATATTAAAAAAAAGGTAACTAACTACGGTGTTTTGGTAATCAAATAATGTAATACTTTTATAAAAACAGACATTTGGGTCAATGAAATAGAATAAAAGGTCTCTAAATAAACCGTCAGTATGGTCAATTGATTTTCAGGAATGCTAGAAATGTACATTAAATGTGAATAAGAAATCATAAAATAAATTGTTTTTTCTCTCTTTTTTTGTTGGAGGTTTTTGCTATAGGGTGTGTGCGCTCGCCAGACAGACAGAGAGAGACAGAGAGACAGAAAGTGAGAAATCACCCCCCAGGGAGGATGACCATGCCGCAATCCCTTCTCCTCCATTCTCCTCTCGCCATCTTGGGCACGCACACACACACACCTGGCGTGAGTTTTAAGCCACTGGGTCCAGGACGCAAACCGTGGTTGCCTACATGGGAGTCCAGCGACATAGCCATTATGCTAACTGCTGGTACCAAAATAAAATTTTTTTAAATGATGATTATAGAAGAGATATTAAAAATTATGGGAAATGTCTATTATGGAAAAAGTGTTCATAAAAAAAAGAAAAGGACTGTCTTTTCAACATATGTTATTCGGAAAACTAGATACACACATTCAAAAGAATGCAGCTGGACCCTCACATTACACGATATACAAAAATTAACTCAGTGGATGAAACACCTAAACTTAAAGAGCAAAAGTATAAAACCCTTAGAATAAAACATATGGGAAAAGCCTCATGACATTGGATTTGACAGTAATCAGACATGACACCAAAAGCGTAGGCAACAACGACAACAAAAAGATAAGTTGGGGCTTTATAAAAATTAAATACTTTGTTCATTAAAGGACACTTATTGAGAGAGTAAAAAGCAGCACACAGAAAGTAAGGAAGCATTGCACATCATATATCTGGTAAGTAATTGATATGCAGAATATATAAAGAATTCCTACAACTCTACAACAATAGCAAAAAAAGAATTGGAGAAAGACTTGAACAGAAATTTCTCCAACAATGTACACAATAAGATCCATAAGCACATGATAAGATAATATCAGTAATCATTAGAGAAAAAAAATTAAAACCACAAGATACCCCTTCATGACCATTAGGTTAGCTATTATTTTTTAAATATTTTATTTTATTTAGCTTTATTTATTTATTTATTTAACCAGAGAGGGATAGAGTGAGAAAGAGAGAGAGAAAGTGAGAAAGCAAGCCAACAGGTCCAGGACTTGAACCATGGTCAGCCATGTAGGAGTCCAGTGCCCTTAACCACCACGCCACCTGCTGGCCCCTAGGTTAGCTATTTTTAAAAAACAAAACAAAACAAAACAAAACAAAAAACAAACAATGAAAACAAAAATAAAATGTGTTGAGAAAGATGTGGAGAAACTGAAACTCTTGCACTCTGTTTATGGAAATAAAGTGGTATAGCTATTTTGAAAAATAGTCTGGAGGTTACTTAAAAAATTAAAGATAGAGAGCCAGCAGTCGTGTAGTGGTTAAGATGCTAGACTCCCGCGTTGTTGACTATTGTTTGAGTTCCAGACCCAGTGCTTGAAACTAATGCTGGATATGTGTGCACATGTGCTCTAAATCTTGAGTAGAAAATGGAGAAGGGACCGTGGTGTGGGCATCCACCCTGGGGGTGATTTCTTGTTTTCAGTCTCTCTCTCTCTCTCTCTCTCTCTGTCTCTCTGATGAACTCACATGCCCTATTTTTAAAATCTCTAAAAATATTAAAGATAGAATTATTATATGATCTAGCAATATTTCTTCTAGGTATATACTCAAAAGAATTAAAAGCAGGGTTTTCGAGGTATATTTGTACACACATTTTCACCGCAACATTATTCACAATTGATAAAATATAGAAACAATCCAAGAGTCCATCAACAGATAAATGGATAAGCAAAACACAGTGCAATGTAATTAATCCTTCAAAGAAGGAAAGTTGTGTTACATATTACAGCATGGATAAATCTTCAATGTATTGTGATAACTGAAAGAAGTCATTCACATCATGGCACATATTGTATGATTTCATTTCTATAAAGCATCTAGTGTAGCCAAATTAATAGAGACAGAAAGTAGAATGGTTTTGTCAGTGACCGGGGGAAGGAGAATGAGAAGTGGGTATTTAATGAATATAGAATTTCAGTTGGGGAAGATGGAAATTTCTGGAGATGGATGGTAGTAATGGTTGTACAATGTTGTGAATGTACTTAATGCCACAGAATTGTACCATTAAAATTGGTTAACATGATAAACTCCATGTTATATTTATTTTACCCCAACAAAAAGATAAAATGAAAACATGAAATCAATGGTTGCCAACAGTACTCTAATATGCTTGTTTCTTTTCTTTCTTTCTTTTTGAGAGGTTTTTGCTATAGGGCACGTGTGCTTGCCAAAAAGACAGAGAGAGACAGAGAGAAAGTGCCGTGGAGATGGCCACGCTGCAATCCCTTCTCCTCCATTCTCCTCTCAGGATCTTGGGCACGCACGCACACACGTCCAGCGTGAGTTTAAGCCACCGGGTCCGGGACTCAAACCACGGTCGACTACATGGGGGTCCAGCGACATAGCCAGTACGCCAACTGCTGGTCCCTCTAATATGCAAGATTTTTGAAGTTTTCCCTTAGATACCATCAGGATTCAATTTAAAAATTCTATCGTTAAAGATGAGATTATTGGACTTTACTCAGTTTTATTCAACAAAACTTGAAATTTAGATGTCAATACAACCACAATAATATACCAACAGAGTGTCCTTACCTAGCGATTAAATATTAAAATTCTTCAAGTTTCTATTCTGACTTCTCTGTTTGTACTCCCTATACTCACATGAGGGATTTTTTTCCCATATCTAGAGCTTCAATTATCACTTACATGCAGATGGCTCACAATTTATGTCTTTAATTATCTCCCTGAGATCAATTATTTCATGTCTCAAAGTCATCTTACACTCAACATGTCGAAGACCAAATTCATGATCAGCAATCCCATACTTGGTTATTTATTTACCATTCACGTACATGACTAAGCCATAAAGCCAGGAACTTCATGCTCCTTTACATCCCATATCCTATTACGAACTCCCAAGCCATGATTTACTGCTTCCTACCATTTATCTTACTGCATTTAGATTTATTTCTGTGAGCATTTGATTGTTTGTCTCCCACGCTACAGTGCACGTACCCGGTAGAGACAGATTCTATTTTTGCTCATAATTATATCCCCAGAATATAGCACAGCGCCCAGTAATAAAACTTTTAAGCTTTGTACTCATGATTAGGAAATAGCATGGTATAAATTTTTAAAATATAATTCCTCTCCTTCCTATTATATAAAGATGAGAGTTGTTACCCAAGCAGAGTTAGTGGGTTGTAGTCTGATACCTCAAGATTACAGTAGCCATTGTTTTTAATTCTGGGTCTTTAGTTCAGTGTCATCTTTTACATGGAATATTTTGGACATCTTTCACTTATCTAGGGCAATGATTTCTGTGTTTGTTATCTCCCATCAATACTAATCCAAATACATTGTTCAATTCTTTGGTTGGAAAAATATTAAATACTTGATTTCACAAATCAGAGTGGAGGTAGAGGTCATGCGGGTGAGGGAACGGGGGAGTTTATCTCAAGGCTCAAACTCTGTGGATTCAAATCCTGATATTGCTAGTAGTTTCAGGTGACTTTTGTACCTGAATCTGTTTCCACATTTGTGAAAATAGACACAGAATTAACAATATTTATAGCACAAATTTGTTGTGAGGATCCTATGAGAAAATACCTCTGAAATTACTTTTCAAACTGTAAAATGATATAAATGAACATAATTACTCCAATTTGACTAGGGTTAGAGTAAACCCTAAACTATAATAGTAATGGGAGTGTGGAGCCTTAGAATTTCTGGGTTGTTTTTAAAGTGCTTTTCTAACTTGTTTCTGAACGTGCTTTTCTATCTTGTTTCTGAACATGTTTTCGAAATGAATCTCCATGGTAGCAGTAAAGACAAATATATTTATTTTCAAAGGCCGATGGAACACATATCTAACCAGTCCATTTGGAGTCTGTATTTCTACCACATTTCAGTTTCCTTCAAATCTCAAACTCCCTCACTGTCTCTAACCCAGACACCAAGTGGGCGGTTACTAAGGGCTGCCTGGGCTGCCACCAAGGGCTGCCTGGTTTCCTGTAGCCAGGTTTTATGTCATCGGATTGTGGCGTACCACCGACGCGTGCATGCCCAATTGTGACGTCACTCCCTCATATATAAAGCTCTCCGCCGCAGCAGAGCATCCCAGTTACACACCACCCTGGCCCGAGGCTTCACAAGTCCAGGCGGCCAGCGCCCCCCACCATCCCGCTTCTCAACTACCAGCTGAGTGCCTCCGTTCCCAAGAAGTGAAGAGGCCAAAGAGAAGCCATGAGTCTTCTTCTGGTGCTAGTGATCTGTGTTGTGTTCGCATCTACGCTCGTCTTCTGGAAAAAGCGCTCTCAGGTAAAGGTGTATGGAAGAGATACCGGAATTAGCTGCAGCCAGATGAATGTCTGGATTAGGGAGTGTGTTTGTAAGAGAGTAAAAAGGATAGGAAAGTTAAAGTCAAAGGGAGATCATCTTATTCCTCTTTTCCATCGAGAAAGAGCCAGACTTTTACTCTTTACCCTCAGGATTCCCACAGTTTAGTGATTGGACAGTTCTGTTCTCTTGTAAAAAGGCTTAAGTCACTAAATGATGGGCTCAGCTTTCCACCCCTCCGTAGAGAAAAGTGCCGCTGAGTGGGCCCATTCTCCCATCATGACCTCCCATTTTAAGAATCTGTAGCTTCTCTCTCTTTCCTTCTTTCATGCTTTTGTTTGCTTCTTCCGCCATCTTTATGGGAGCTTTCTGGGCATTCACAAATAATGCGGGTCTAAATAGGGGTTTCCTGGTTTCTTTGACATTATGAGTAAGGTGCTTTTAAGTAAGGGTCAGGGCTAGGGTCCATATTTAGATGTACTGGACTGCCAGTAGTAGAAATGTAAAAAAGGCTATGGCACTTCAGTACCACGAGTCTACTTTCATAGTTTTCTCTTAGTCTATGCTTGGGAAGTACATATTTCTGAATCAATGAAGTCATTAAACACATTTTTAATATCTAGCTCATAGTGGAAATCAGTTCGTTTTGATACTAAAGACTAACGAAGTTGCTCTTTGGTAGTATTTGGAAAGTGTTAAACTCAATTATCTACATATATTTAATTTCCTCCTTTACAGAAAAACAGTGGTGAAACATCAACTTCGACTGCTCTTGCATTGATAAGACCATCCTCCTCTTCCATTGGGTCAACTAGGAGCCATATTGACAACCGTCTTTCAGTCAACAACCTCTCTCGAGATATCTTAAATAATTTCCCTCACTCAATAGCCATGCAGAAGCGAATATTGGTAAACCTCAGAATTGTGGAATACAAGCTGGCTGAAATGGAACATTTCCTAATTAACAAGGGCTTAAATGGTGTATTAGTTAATCGGAAACCCACTGAAAGCCTTACAGAATGTAAGGACAGTGGAAGCAATCATTAAAGACACTTTAAGTGGATTCATTTGTTTGTGTGTTTGTACCAAATTAATTATTGTTTAAAAGGGGAGGGGGCGCCAAGTCAGTTAGAAAAATCCAGATATTTATTGTTCTGCTTACATTTTATTTAAAGAATTGATTACATGCTGGTAATATATATTTTCCTTGGGATGGAATAGAAGCATAATACATAAAAGTTTGGAGGTTTTTTGTTGTTGCTATAAATAAGTTATAAAAAAATTAATTGAAATAGTGATTTTTATTTCACTAAAGTGTGAAACAGTCTTTTCTAATGGTTTACAATGCAACAGTGCAATTGTCTCCAAGTTTGCATTAAAGTGAGAGGTGATGGAACTTTTTTTATTATGCAGAATACTCTTTCCTGCAACTGTTGAATCCATATAATAATAAATAGCGCTAATATTGAGCACCCTACTATACACCAAGCTCCCCATTAAGATCCGTGCTTTACACACTTATGAAGATAGTGACACAAACTCTTAACTACTCTATTTCTTTTTTTTGGAGAGGTTTTCGCTATAGGGCGCGTGCGCTCGCCAGACAGAGAGAGACATAGAGACAGAAAGCGAGAAATCACCCCCCAGGGGGGATGGTCACGCCGCAATCCCTTCTCCTCCATTCTCCTCCTGGGATCTTGGGCATGCACGCACACGAGCCCAGTGTGAGTTTTAAGCCACCGGGTCCGGGACGCGAACCACAGTCGACTACGTGGGAGTCCAGCAACACAGCCATTACACTACCTGCTGGTCCCTTAACTACTCTTTATGGTCAGCTTTTGAAAAAGATTTCTTCTCCTTCAGACATCTCCCCTCCTCCAATTAGGTATTCTTTCATTAAAATCTGCCTAAATCTTCCTTGAATTGCAACAGTCACCTATAGACAACTGATGCATTTTTTTTTTTTACATTTGGTGAAAAAGCTACACTTAAAATAGCACCAAGAAACACTGGTAGGCGGCATGTAATATAATGTGAATTAAACTAAGAAAAAATTATTTCTAAGCTCTAATCAGCCATCATTTCAAATAACGTTTAATAAAATCCAGTGTAACTCAAGCACTAACAATCCTTTTATATTTTATTTTATTTTTTTAATTTGCTATAGAGTGTGTGTGCTCACTGGAGGTGAGAGAAAGAGAGAAATGTGTGTGAAAACAACCCCCCCCCGGCCCTGGGGCAATGACTACACAAGTCCCTTCTCAAGATTTTGGCTACACATGCATGTGCACCCAGCATATTTTTCAAGCCACCAGGTCCAGGACTCAAACCATACAATCAGCCATGTGGAATCCAGCCGCCTTAACCACAATGCCACCTGGCTGATCCTTAATCTCTTAAAATTCCCTAAAAGTATTTGACCTGCCCCCCAAAGAATACCCTCCAAATGTCAAACATGAGTTTATTTTATATATACATAATATACTGAGATGGTTTAATTATAGTCTTCCCTGTTTACCTACCTACATGCCCCCTACTCCAAAATAAATTAGTGGTATAAATTTTTTAAATGTCTTAATTCATTATTCCTTTCATCATTATTCAAAAGGAAGAGGAAAAGGAAATTAAAATGTATAAGAAAAGTTATTCTTGCTGTTGTTATTTCCTTGCCAAACACAAAAAGCCAGTAGTAGTATATGTGGTTCTTAAACTTATTTTGGTCATAGGTACCTTTGGTATTCTAATGAAAACTATGGACTCTCCCCCTAAACAAATGCATGTACACATATGAACAGAAAATGCTATATATCATTTCAGTTTTATGTTTCCTGAAGCCTAAATTAAGAATCTTAGAAATTGTTTAATCAAGTTCCTTATATATTTAGGCAGTGTTTATGATCCTAGGTTGTGACATTTAAACCAATCGTCAATAATATATAATCAATATGTACAACTATTACTGATGCATTTCATTATTATTTATAAGGAAACAGGGTCATAGGACTTTCTAATTTGACTTCTCTCATTCTTAACAAGTTTGACAAGTTTATCTGCTATTAGTACATAAATAAGCTATCACACATATGTAGTAATTTACTCACATAAAACAATATTATTCTGATTTATCAGCCATATATCACAATCATAAGATGGCAGATTTGATTAAAAGCTATTTCACATAAACATTTTGGGCTGTATTCTATCTGAAATTAAACCTAGATTTCAGAAATTACAGTGAGCTACTCATAATTTTGTAAACCACAATAAATATTAGATGGGTCATAGTTTTCTTCCAAATACAATTTAAGGAAAGTAGATCACCTTTATTTTTCTATCTAATTTTACTCTTTGAAAATAAAGAACATAATTACAAAATTCAAATAGAAAACATGAGCTGTAAAAAAACTCATGAAACTTTTAGACATACTTAGATCAAAATATTAAACTACAGTCTTCATAAACATATACTGCATTTTTTCCATATGTCTATGGTGTTTCTAATTAAGTAGGGCCTTCAGTTTGTAACACTTTCTTTTAAAATATTGATTTACTTTTCCTCTGATTTTTGTGGAGAAAAGTGTATATTAAGAAAATAAAAGCAAATATTTAAAATCTTATATAATAGAAATATAACTATTTTCTAAGTAATCAACCCAAAATAAAGCCTATGTTAGAAAAAATTTTGGCAATATTTACAAAATTCTTATTGTGAAATAGAGACAGTTATGTGTGTGTTATACAGATAATGTGAAAAATATAATAAGGACATTGCTAAACATTAATAGATTCACATTTTTATATTACATTCTTGCATAAAAGGGAAAACATCTCTGTTATAAACATGGTATGTACATTTCAATATCCAATTAACATACAAATAAATAAAAATTTTCCCTAACCTAAAAAAAATCACATTATACAACATATATTTTTAAAAATGAGATCTCATTCTGGTTTACTACTACCACTAACAGTGGGTATCTCATAGTTGGTCTCTTTTTTAGGATCTACCATGTCTTTATATCTCTCCCCACGATGTCGTTCCAGATAAGGACCCCAGTTAGAAGCTGGTTTGCAGCAACTTATAATGCGCTAAAAAAAAAAAAAATTGTGTTAGAATTTAAGTGTTCCAATCTATAAACAAGCATATATTAAACTACACTTTCATTTTAAATTTCAGGTCTCCTTGTTAACAAAAAAAGGATCACAGAAAAGTAAAAAGTCTAGTCAAAATTCTTAATAATGCACAGTCTCCCCCAAAATAATTGTAATCACATTTAACCAATTGTTAATAGAGTTATATAAACTTCTAAACCAAAATATGTAAATGATTTCAAAGAAAGGTCCGTGAGTCCACTAGAGTGACAGTGTCACCACATGCACCTGCACTGAATTCTCAGTCATTTCTATCCTTGCCTGAGGATGAGGATGAGGATGAGGTGAGGATCTAAACCAGTGTGTACTTAGGATATGTTTCAAGAACTGAGGAAAGGGAGCTTCAGGGACAAACCACTGATCTATCCTTAGATAGACTTTGGAATTTATTTAAGTCTAAGAGTCTTGAGTCTTAGCATTGGCCCAGTAAGATGTCAAAATCGACTCTGCTCTAAGCCTCCATGGAAGAGGGATGACTCAGGTCTAGACTGGGTTCAGAATAATTTACCAGGCTTATTTCAATCTAAACACACTGTTAGGATATATATCATAACTAGATAAGGTATTTCACGTAGATATTATGGATTATGAATTTAAAGTATTTTATGGATTTAAAGTAAAAAAAAAAATATTTTGCTTTGTGACATATTCAGGGCCAAATCAGTACAAGTATAAATATCAGGGCTATTATATGCTAAGCTTGCTGCATAGCAATAAGCAAGACCAGACTCCTCCCACAAGGAGCTTATAGTCTAGTACAGGGAGACACACAAATATATATAGAATTAATAAAATGTTATACACTAGTAACAGGTGATTGCATCAGGCATAGATCAAGAGGAA